CATATTCATCAAAGGATCTGATGATGTTGGATCCTCCTGTAATAACTAATACTCCAATTAGAATAATTGAAAATTTGAGACATGATTTTACATTGGGATATTTGAATAAATTTAATCACTATCATCCAGAAAGAGATCCTTAAATCGTACATTAGTGCTCTTGAATTCTGTTCTCTTTCAAAAACATGCTTCCGCATAATAACTACTTGAGTGCTGCATAGAGTTTTTGTAAAAGGAATACATACCCGAAGTCTTTGAGAACCTTTTAGTGTGGTTGTGACAGTGTCAAAATTTGAATTTATACACCGCAGGAAGTGATCAGAAGGATTCCTTCTTTTGGGGCATGGAAATCCAGCTTCAGCAAAGAACTACAGATACCAAATTAAAAGTTAAACCCACTTGGTCAATGGAAATGATGTAAGAGCTTACAGATTATAATATTTATTATCAAGTCAGGCCTACCATACCTCTACTGCCATCTTTGCTTCTCCAAAATAAACAGTTTCACCACCAGATAGCAAGAACAGATCATCCAATAATGCAAACACTTCACTACTAGGTTGATGAATAGAAGAGATAACCGTCCTTCCTTCACAGGCAATGTTCCTGAGAGTTTGGATCACAAAGAAGGCAGAGGCACTGTCAAGGCGACTGGTAGGTTCATCGAGGAACAAAACTCGTGGCATTGTGAGGATCTCAAGTGCTATGCTCAGTCTCTTCTTCTCCCCACCACTGATACCTCTCAAATGCCAGTTTCCTATCACATTATCAGCACAATCTTGGAGACCCATGGACATGATGGTTCCATTGACAATGTCGTTTACTTCATATTTGGTCAAGTTATTTGGAAGCCTCAGATGAGCTGAGTAGGTTATGGTTTCTCTAACTGTTAGAGTTCCCAACATCACATCCTCTTGGGTCACATAAGCCTGGGGTTTTCAAAAACAGACAAACAGAATAAATAACTCAGACTGGAATCAATGTCATTTTTCAAATTAATCTAATTCAATGTTACCAATTATACCATTTAAAAAATTTGTTACTAATCATAGAAAAAAGAGAGAAAAACTTACAATAACACCATAATCTAGTCTTCTCTTCTTTCCATTCAAAAGAATATTTCCTGTCATGGCCACATTTCTGGAGAGTCTACCTGTAGTAAGATCAAGGAATCATTGAGGTGAGTTTAACACAATAAAAGAAAAGATATGTATATGTATGTGTGCATATATATATATATATTTATATATATAGAGGCAAGCCACACCTCAATCTGACAACATTGCAAAACTGTTTTGCCTTTCTTTTATAAAAAGAAAAAAATGAAGAAGAAGAATATAACTCTTTTCCCTTTAATTAAAGAAACAAGTGAAATTAGCATAAACTTATATACTTGGACTCAGGGACAAAGCTAGAAATTTGAGTTTGGGGGCAAAATATTAAAATTTTTTTTGTAAGTCATTTAGGTATCATTTGACCATATTTTGTATAAATTTTTTTCACAACAATTTTTATAAAAATGTAAATTTATTATAATTAATTAATATTTTATATTTGGCTAAAAGTTAATATTTTATATACTTCTACTAATTTTAGTTAATATTTTATATATTTTTAAGATATTAAAAAAAACCTTTTACATACAACACAACATTGATAAACGAAACCCTAATAATTTATATAAGTATAATTTATATTGGGTTCTAAATCAATTACCATTTTTATGCATGTACTAGTTATATCATCCACAACCAATTTTATATTAATTAGATGTATTTAACTATTTTTAAATAACATAAAATTTAAGACTATTAATTAAATAGTATAAAAATATAGTTTTTTTTTTTTTGTAAATTTATATATATCAAATGAACTTTGGTTTAATAGAATATAAATCATACCAAAAAAATCATATATAATTAATGTAAAAACTTATATACGTTTATATTAGAATAACTAGATTTTAACTATTTTTTATATTTATTGTTACCTAAATAAAATTATCATGTCTCTATAAAAATTAGTAAAAAAAGAAAAATAATCCCTTTACGTAAGTCCTAACTCTTTTTTTTTTATATTTAAATGGTGCCTATAATTCAAATTAACTTCAAATGTAAAATTTTGTAAAGCATAAAAATTGATGTATCATGTTTAACATTTTTCAAAAGCTTAGGGGGGCGGCTGCCCCCACTTGTCTTACACTAGCTCCGTCCCTGCTTGGGCTAGCAAATACCAGAGAAAAACATTGCAGCTCACTTGGGCCAATGCCACAGTCTGTACCTTTCACATTTTTTATGTGGTTAATACTTTAAATTACTTTTGTTTTGATTAACAATTTTCATTATTTAAAAATCGTAAAAAATTTAAAAATTAATGATTAAATTTTTTATTTATACCTTAATTTTATGATCAAATCCCCTACGTGTATTATTATTTTGTTAGTAATTTAAAATTTTTTATGAGTTCAAATTATAAAAAATATTAATTAAAATAAAAATTAATTTTAAATGTTAACTAAAATATATATATATATATATATATAATGTAAATAGGGAGTTCGGCTGCTCACTTATATTAATAACGAGCGGCGCTATAGGCACTCGCCCATAAGCACTCTCTTCAACACTTCCCCCTCTTGCTGACACATTGCATAAATATTGAGAGAAAATAGATATAAACTGGTAACCGGAAATAACGGTTACCCATTTATCATTAGTTTTCTTTTTCCTGACTTTGTACCATTTCTTTTAGTGAACTGGTGATGGTGAATTCGCAGGAATTTTTTTTTTTTGGTGTATTTTATAAATTCATTTTACTTTGTGACATTTGTAAATATTTTAATCTTTAAAAGTATTTTAAATATTTTAAGTTGAATAGTGACAATTAATGTAATTTTTGTAAAATATTTATCTATTTTGTAAATATATTTTAGTACTTTATATCTTTTTTTTTTGTGTGAAATATTTTTTATTTTTTTCTATTTGAAGTTGTTTTTGTAATGATTATTTTTTATGTCATATATTTATCTGAATTTTTTTAGTTTGATTCTAGAATTAATTATGTTTTAAATTAAATAAATTAGATTTGATAGAAACCATTTTAGTTTCATAAATTTTCATCATAAAGTATTAAAATATTTATAAATTAATTATTTAATATCATATTTTTTTCTATTTATTTTATTTTATTTTATGTAAAAAGTATTTATCAATTAAATCTCTAAAAAATTACAAGGAAAAACCCAATTACTATGTCGTTTCAATAAATTTTTATTAAAACTATTAAAATAACTTATTTTTAAATGAAAATTGAGTTTTAAGCATAATAAAGTTAAATATATAAACTGTTCTTAAATCATTAATTAAAAAAATTAAAAATAATAGTTATTTTTCAATAAAGAGAATAACTTTATATGACTCACTTTTATATTCAAATATGAGAGAAGTATTTTTCATGTAAACACCACAATTGAAAAATTAGGAGAAGCGTCTATGTAATCACCAACGTGGATAAAATTAACACACAAATATTATTTTAATGAAAAGTTAATGTCATGTAACATTGCCACACATTAAATTTTAAGTTATTTATCCAGTTTAAAAAGGTTGTAAGGGCAATTTGTCTCTTTATTTTATTAGGGAGAATCCATCCCTACTTAACAAACTTAAGTAGTGGATTTGGACATTTGCTTAATGGGTTAGTAATATTCATGTTTACTAATGTAATAACGCAATAATATATTTGATCTTCACTTATACGAGTAATTAAAACAATTAATTTTTTATAATTTATTAATTATTTTAATTGTAAAAAAATGAAAGTCACATTGATATGATACTGATAGATAAAAATATCACTTATTATATGATATCCTCTTTCCATATCCCATTATATGAAAGAGCTTATCTTTTCTTTTTTCCTTTTTTTTTTCTTTTTTTGAGTTTCAAATAACAAGAAGTAAGGAAAAAGTATTTTACGTTAATATATATGACCTTTACTTATATGAGTAATTAAAAAATTAATTTATTATAATTTATTAATTATTTTAATTGTAAAAAAATGAAAGCCACACTGATATGAGATTTGTGGATAAAAATATCACTTATTACATGGTATCTAATATCCTATTATATGAAAGAATTAATGTTTTGTTTTTTTTTTTCTTTTGAGTTTCAAATAGAAAAAAAAAAAAGGAAAAAGTATTGTACACCTTAATATATATGACATTTACTTATATTAGTAATTAATAAATTAATTTACTAAATTAATTTACTATAATTTATTAATTATTTTAATTGTAAAAAATGAAAGCCACATCGATATGATATTGATGGATAAAAATATCATTTATTACATGATATCCCATATCCAATTATATGAAAGAATTTATCATTTTATTTTGAGTTTACAATTTAAAACATATCAAATTACATAATATTAACTATCTAACAAGTAAACGTCCCTAATATTGAGATATCTTATTACTTAATCATTTTTATTTTATAATACAATATAATCTAATTTGTAAATCATAATTTTAAAAGATAAAACTCAAATAAAAGCAATAAAGCGCAATGGAAATTGAAAGTCGGTTGCCCATTTGGACGTTTAAATATATTGCAACGTGTCAGCAAGAGAGGGGCAAGTGTTGAAGAGGGTGCTTACGGGCGAGTGCCCTTAGCATTGCTCAAGAATAAATCTTCAATTCTTAATCTTTATAAAACTCGAAATTAATATTCACTTTCTCCAGAACTTGCCCTGAGTTTAGGGGATGGAAGAATTATTTTTAGTCACTTAAATTCATCACCATTAAATCAGATTATTAAATTTTCAAAGGCTTTTTACATACTTTACAAGTGAAGTTTACTGCAAAGATGAGACTGTACTACCAAAAAAGACATATCTTCTCTACAATAGCGAATAGCTGGCTACCTAACAATCAATTCTTGAGAAACGGAGGTAGAAATGGGCTTCTTTCTTTTATCTTTGGAAGTCTGAACTCAAAAATACCGGTACTATCCTATTTGCAATTGATTACTAAACTATTTGGAGAATTTTATACTTTAGAAGCCAAGTGGATTGCTTCTATTGAAGATATCCCTCGATCGTCTTTTAGGCCGTTTTCTACACGTCCCTGTCCTCTTTTTGTTTTTTGTTTTTTTGTTTTTAATTTATGAAAATAAAAAAATTGGGTTCACTCTAGTATATAAAAAGGCTAAACCTAGGGCATGCAGATGCAGCCAAACTAAGCTGATGCACAGACTCTTATCCACAACAGAGTCTCACAGTAGTCGGTTGACTTCAAAAAAGGAAATGCAAGTCGATTCATGGTTTTTTGCGAAGTGAAATGGGTCAATCAAATAGTTACTAACATGTTAAATTTTAGTAAACAAAGATTACATGTGAATCATTTTTACTTGTAAATCATTTTTCATATTTTAACAAACAACCACCAATAGATAAATAAGTTATAATAGAACCATTTAGTCTGATATTTCTTTAAATTTTTTTGTACGAAGAAGGAAAAACTCTCCATATTATTTACTAATATTTCTTTCGCAACAAGAAGAAAGTTATATTAAGCAATTGATTGTTCTTCTCCTTGGAGAGGAATGAGGAGCAGGCACTAATCCCAAATCCCAACAGTAGTTTATGAAATGGAAATCAGGATTCAGGAAAACTCCACAGAATCTAATGTCCTTTAACTAAGAATGAACTTATTCAAGTAGTTTAAAAATCATAAAAACAAACAAAGAAGTACAGAGCAAAGCGTACCTGCAAGAGAATCAAGAAGAGTGGATTTGCCAGAGCCAGAAGTACCCATGATGGCCATGATCCTACCAGGCTCAGCAAACCCATTAAGCCCTTGAAGCAACCTTTTGGTGGGTTTATTCCCAAAGTTTGGCAGCACCACATTCAGATCCTCCCACACCAAGTACCCACCCTTCCTTCCACCATCATACCTCGCCTTCTCATGGTAACCATCGCCGCCACCACTACCATGTTTCTGATTACTACTACTTGTAGCCACCTCTATCTCCATAAGCTTGATGTGAAATTGGTAAACAACACAAAACAAGAAAAAATAAAGGGTGAGCATTTTCATCTACATTTTTATGTCGTTGTTATTGGCAATTTCCTCCGATCTCTGCAGGACCCACTGGAATTCCCGCTATGGAGACGAGACGAGGACGACGTTACTTCGTGTGGGGCAGGGACAAGGACAGTGGTGGAAATTTTAGTCAGGTTTTCAAATTTTAAAATAATGCATTATAATTTTAAAAATTTGTTTTTATATTATAAATTAAAAAATATTTGATGAATTTTTATATCACAAAATTTATCTATCATAGAGTTTACATTAAATAATTAAATTATTTTTTTAATATAAATAATTAAAAAATTTGAAAGAAATTTATCTTCAATTTTGTTACGAAATTTCATTTTTACAATTTTCATAGTAAAAAATGCTCTTTCTATTGTTGCCGTAGAAACTAAAAAAGTAAACACAAAAGTAATTTATTTGTTGTAGAAAATGCTCTTTCTCATTTTCACAATTGTAAAAATTGCTATTTTTTTCACATTTTTTTCTTTTTACAAGCTAATTACATGTTACACTAATTTATCTTCCTCTTATACTAATTTATTCTCCTATTGCTTTTCTCTATATGACTATATCCAAGGTTTCTCTTTTTATTGGGTTCATATATTTATCCAATTTTATTCCATATAATTTCAATATGACTTCAATATTATCATAATATTCAATTTTATTTGTAATCTCAACAACTCTAAATCCTAAAAGGAAATTATATAATTTTTTATGATAATAAAAAATCAATAAGTTTAATTACTTAAATATTACTCCCTTCATACTAGAATAATAGATTTTTTTGTTTTATCTTCAAATAAAGGATTTGAAAACAATTTCTATCTTTACCTATTTTATACTTAAAAAATAAATAAGAATACATATCTACTTTAATCAGAAAATAAATAATTAAAGTTAAGAGATAATTATAGACTTAAAACCAAAAAAAAAACTATTTATCTTCCTTAAAATAAAAAAAATGATGAGTATTATTCTGAAATAAATTCTAA